ATTTACATTTTATTTCAAATGTTGCACATTGTTGCCTCTATTGCATGTTCATATAAATTGATGACTGTCGTTCATAACAATGCAATGAATATGACTATGATAATAATGCTGAAAATAATAGAAAATCTATGAAAATTCATATCATGCAGGATAGATTAGAAGATTATTATAATCCATGCGGGGAGGGGCAAACATGCTTTTAAGACAACCCTCAATGAGAACTAAAGGTGATTCCCTACTCCACTACTCTTAGGTCCAAACCTCATCAAGGGACCGCTGTTGTTATGTTGAATTTAGCCCAATTCTTATAAATGGTTAGCATAGGCCAACAACTAGGTGACAACCAAGTGATATCTGTGTCAAAGAAAATGTAAACATTACATTGCGTTTCAAAAACTATGACTAATAAAAATGAGTATATAAATGAAATGTAAAGTAGCTTTATACCAGTAACTAACTAACCAAGTGTACTAAATGATTTGACACTTAACGATTGCGCTTCATTTTCTTAGAAAAAATCATGTTCATTGTTAATAATTATTTTCTCTAGTATTTAAAAATCAAAGCCCTCACTAAATTTCTTTTGCATTGAGCTACTATGTTTAAGATTATAAATACTCGTATTAATTCCAATAATCAAAATGGCATATAATATTCTTTTTCATATAGTTAACATTATATTAAAATTATTGATCCATTGAGCTTCTGACTCATCAGAAATTATTAGTTATTACTTCACGAAAAAGAAGCAAATTAAGCTAAAGATAATGAAGAAGGTGGGTAGCCTTTTGATGAGATAAAATACTAAAAATTACTATAGATGTTCGGTGTTAAGTAATAATGACGTGATGTGAAGATTTTTGTGGATTGCTGAAATATTTAATAGGGGATAGAGGCTTACACAAAAAAAACTAATCTAAAATAGGCTAGTTTGGGCTTATTTGAATTATCTCTTTTGGGAAAGTACTTCAAGATTTGATAAATGGCTAGAAATGATTATCGGTGGTTATCTTGGGATGCGTACCTATGATCTAGAGAAGAAGATTTGTTTTGAATGGATTTAGATGGTGTTAAGGGTTAGAGAACAAGACTAGATCTAAATATGCTCTAACTTTGTTGAGGCTATGAAAAGGGGTTTATAATAGTTGTGAGGCTTACATTATTAGTTTGTTGATATTATAAAAAGCTTAGGACGTTGATGAACAGTGGTGAAGAATTTAGAAAAAGTGTTATAAATGATTAATGAATAACTTAAAAGAAAAGCAAAAATAAATATATAATCTCACCAAAGAAAATGCAACACTTGAAGCCACCAAACACCAAGCAATAAAAGAGAATTCTCACTCGAATATTTCATTCAACAACTGATCAAAAGTCATTACCTATCAACCCTATTTATAGGGATTAAAATGAAAAAAAAGTTAAGAAAATGAGGAAGAAATTTTAAAGGGAATGGTAAGTGGTGATTGATGGAGGAAAGTGGTAACCTCATTCCTTATTTATTATTTTTTAAGACCAACCATCAAAGTAGCCAAGTTTGAAAGCTCGAACTTTCTATAAAATGAAATTGAAATAAAAATAACAAAATATAAATTCAAATAACTCATCTTGATGGGGCTCTTGTGACGAAGCTTGAATAGGCTCTTAATTGAGCACTTTCTCGAGCATTTGTTTGAGCTCTTGTAAGTGGACTTTTAAATTCATTTGTTTGAGTTTGAATGTGTTTTAAGCCTTCACTTGATTCTTATAATTTTTTCTTTATTTTATATCACTTCTCATTGCATAACTTAATTCTCCTTCATGCAAAATATGATTTGCATTTATATAAATAACATTATATTGATTTGCATCAATTCTCCCCTTCTTCAATAATTCTACTCCGTAGAATTAAATAGATGAAATAAAAGTAGAAAATATGTATACAATATGAGACTTGAAAAAATTAAATGCAAAATTTAAAATCAAGCAAATATACAAATTAATTTGGATAATTACTTCTCTTTTCAAATATAGTTAAAAATTATAATCGGAGTAATCATTTATGTTGATAAACTTTGAATTAATTGCCTGAAAAAAAAAATATCTCAATCAACTTTTGAATAATGAGAAGCTATGTAGTAGACATTTGATAAAAGAAAAAGGAGACTACATATAAAATGCAAGTTTGAAAAACTCTCCAAAATTCTTCACAAAGAAAATGAATCACCAAACTCATCTTCACATGCATGCAAATGAATCCTACCAAAAATCTAATACCAAATTTATGATGAGTGGTAAAATTTATTTTAATAATAAAAGCTATGTAGTGGATACTTGGTAAAAGAATAAAGAAAATACATAAGATGCAAGTTTGAAAAACACCAAAGTTCTTCCCTAAGAAAATGAATCACCAAACCCATCTTCACATAGATGCAAATGAATTCTCACTAAAGTTTAATACCTAATTTATCAATGGTAGTAAAATTTATTATAATCATAATTTTAAAGATTGAGTCATTAGGCGCACCATAATGGGAATACTCCCCTAAAATATCTTGTCATTAGATTGCTCATTCCCTGATTTGCTCTGATACTAAATATGATTGTGGTGGGTGTACTTTATAGTAAGATTAATACTAAAAATTGTTACATATGTTGGTATTAGGTATAAAGATGTTATGTGGAGATTTTGGCAAATTATTAAAAAATTTAGAATTGAATGATGGCTAAAATAAAAAGATTGATATAGATTAGGCAAGTTTGGCTTGATTTGAAATATCACTTCTATAAAATTGGCTTAAGATTGGGTAAATGACTGAAAATGATTATTGGTGGTTAGCTCAGAATGTGTACTATGATATGGAGTAGATGGTTTGTTTTGGAAGAGTTTATAAGGGTGTCGAGGAATAGGAACAAGACTTATATTTAATATGCTTTAGTATGGTCGAGAGCTATGAAGAGGAGTTTAGAATAGTTGTGAGGTTTTGACTGTTGGTTTATTGATATTATAAGAAGCTTAGGACGTGGATGAAGAGTGATGAAAAATTTAGAGCAAGTATTATAGATGATTAATAATTTAAAAGAAAAGCAAAGATAAATATCTAATCTCACCAAATAAAATACAACACTTGAAGCCACCAACCACCAAGCAACAAGAGAAAAAATTGTTACTCAAATATTTTATTTAACAACTGATCAAAATTCATTACATATCAGTCTAATTTATAGAAATTACAATGATAAAAAATCAATAAAAAAAGATGAAATTTTGAAGAGAATTATAAGTGGTCATTAATGAAGAAAAGTATTAACCACATTTCTAATTTATTATTTTTTTGTGACCAACCATAAAAGCCGTCATGTTTGAAAATTCAAACTTTCTAGAAACAGCATACAATTTAAATATTAAAATATAAATTCAAATATTTCTTCTTGATATGGCTCTTCCATTGGCTCTTAATTGGGCACTTTCTTGAGCTTTTGCTTGGACTCTTGTAAATGGACCTTTAGCTTCATTAGCTTGAGAGTTTGAATAAGTTTTAGACTTCACATGATTTTTATAGTTTTATCTACATTTTTGACTATATCTCATTGCACCGCTTAATTCTCCTCCATACAAATTACGATCTCTATTTATACAAATAATTGGCGACTCAATTTTGAGCTTCATCATAGAGTTTTGGGTAAATAAAGCAAAAGGCTGTACTATATGTAAATAAAAAATTTCTGATATATCATAATTATATATGAATTTTTTAAAAAATCTAATAGCCCATTTTTGTGATATTAAATCTGTATTAATTGTATAATGGATGTATTAGAAATTTATTAAGTGGAGAGTATATTTCATGACAATCTATGCGAGCTAATTTTTTACTACCGCAATCTTATTAATTAGGATGCGTGTTGGTGAGAAATGTGTCAACTAGGATTACCCACCTCTTTTATGCCTTATGTTTAACAGAAGAGGGACAAAATGGGGCATGGCGTTTTTCCCATGAATGGGATACTCATGAAATAGAAATAATTCTAATGAATCTAACCTCCTTAAAATTCTTCTTTATTCTTTTACTCCCACACCAATAAACTGTCAGACCTTAATAATGACAAAAGAGGAGCCTGCTTTTCTAACTGAACAGTGCAAACCTACTGTCACGCCCTTTGTCATCTCCTCGAGTTATCAAAAGTCCCACCAGCCCACCACAGGACACCTACTGCTACCGATCCCAGCAGAACCAGAAAACAGCAAGCTGTCTTGCTATATAAAGCAATTCAAAGTATAAACTAGCTTAGAATTCTTCGTTGCACAGCAATTAAAAAAAAATCAGGTTTCTGTTTTCTGCATTCGAGATAAGGAATTCAGAAATTGGCTTGCTGTCCAGCACAAGATATTTGGATTTGCCATTTATGGCGAGCCGGAGAGCATTTTTTCTATTTACAGAAAGAGAAAGAAAGGGAAAACTGAGAAGAAATATCTAAAGCAGATATCAGAAACCAAGTTATAATTAACTTGATCTCTAAAATGCTACTTTTACCACTAAATCCAGCCTCGCAATCTGGGTTTTGTCATAATGTTGAAAGGTAGGCTGCTGATCAAACGGCTAACCTAAGACATTGAACCTCACAGAATGATAGAAAGATAAAACCTTATGCTTATATGCTGGATTACAAACTAACAGTAATATTATTTCTACCTTCACTTGATGAATGAATCATTGAAATAGCGACTTTTTGTGCTTAAGCGTTCCATTAGGTTCAATGTAATGCAAACCTTCCACAGGTAGAGACAAGAAAATCTTTTTGTTGGTAAAATCCTTGTCCCCTTCCACAGTCTCCACTTTCCCTATTTTTTGTCCTTATTTTACAGCTATAATCATGCTACATTACACCTTTAAAATGTCATATTTATCCATTCGAACTACAAAAGTTGAAGGTTACTGAACTCAATGGACTAGCAAGATTGTCTCGGGGACGTCATGTACGGCATGCATATAGTGTCAGTAACTTAAAATGACATTCACCTTTTAAGAACATTATGAAGGCCCTCTAAAGTACTTAATGTGCTTCTACTTGCTTCAATCTGCTGACTAAGCTCCAAAACCTACAAGATTCATACCATAAGACCATCAAGACTTAAAATCAATGAAGCACAAGGAACACTAGAATTAAATTTGAAAAGTACAACCATTTTCCAACGAGTCAAATAAATAATTCCTCGGAAAATGTAATTTAACCAATATTTCAATGCAGAAAAAATATGGAGTCCAAGCTCAAAAGAAAATAATAAAAAAACGAAAAAACAAACATGTAAAAACAAAGAGTTCACTCCTGCAAGAATTTAGAAAGAAGATGAAATCTTAATAAACAAAATATAGATCTTCTTGATAAAGCTACCAACACAAATAAGACAGTTTAGAAAAGTTTTCAAATGTTACTAGACTTACAATTTAAATTTGAAATTTCAGAGCAGCTTTTTTGAAACGGAGAAGTTGATTGGAACATGATGTATGTCAATTCTTTCTCTCATTTCTTACACAAAATTTCCCAAGTATAATTGAATTCCAAATAAATTTGGAATTGTTTTCTCAGAAAAAGAGTGTGGGCTAATACAACACAATTCATGCAATACAAGCAACTCTGGGTCCATAGCCAACAAAAGTTTAAACAGACAAACAGAATAATATGCAGGATAACACATAATTATAAAAATGAAGCGAAAGCCTGCATCTATCTCTACTTATACACCCTTAATCAAAGCAATAAGTTCTAGGAAAATATCATATTGCTTTCTGTTTTCACCACTGCAGCTTCAAGAATGCTTGAGGCTTTATTTTCCCCCTCCAGAACCCCAAGTCATTTTCCTTTCTCTGCCCTTTTCTCAACTTCTCCACCAGCTCACTATTATCTAGCATACAAAATCTCCTTGAAACTTAAGCTTCCGAAGTTTAATAGGAAGATCACTACAACTATCACCCATGATAGATTTATAAAGACAAAAAATTATTTTCTGTCATAGAAACTAGGAAGATTAATATGTACATGAGAGATTGTTTCATTTCTAAGTTAGGCCAGGTATATTTGGTATTTCCTTGAGCAAACTTCAACCTGGAGGGTTGGCTACCTCATACAGCTTTTGTAACCTTATGACATGTCTATAGATTGGTTAGTTTTTTATCGGTATGTAATTTCTTAATCATTAAGCCTTTCATTCCTTAAAATAGTCTAGCTCATCATCTATTCCTACCATAGATCTCCGAAGCACAAGGATGTTTGATTCAATAACGTAAATTAGACGAAGCTGCTCGTTGATCACACCTATCATGCTCACGCAAAGAGACAACATATAAAAATGTCAAAGTACGCAATTATGTGTCCTAAAGAATATTATGCCAGCCCATATTATCATTATTGTGTCCATGGCATAGGTTGACCTTTCGCAATCACCCTTCCATGCACCATACAAAATGAGACTTTGAGTCGCTTCACTTCTAAAGAATGTAAAAGAAAAATCATATGGTAGTGTTATACAAATTCTTAATTGCACACAAAATGAAAAACATACCTAATCTAAGAATATTGACTGATCAGCATCTCTAATGCTCATGCAAAACTAAACAGTAAAAGATTTAATTTATAGCACCTTGAATTCATAATCCTCAGAAGCTCGTCTTTGTCTTCCGAGAACATGTCCTGAGATAGGCGATTCAGTCTGCACTCTGCCTTGGGGAGACAACAACCCCTACAATAATGGCAAAACAGAATTAAAAAAAGATAAACATGGACGGGTTCATAGAAAACGAAGTGCAAGATGCTAACTTCGACAAAAATATAACATCAGTAAGATGCAAGGCTCTCAATTCAAAACTCAAACAGTAATTAGGAAAATGAACTTGCCAAAGAAATCCACACTACAACAGAACAATCAGATTTATGACTATTAAAAAGAAGGCCACTAACAATTTGTAAGAAAAGATAACCATCCACCAATCCTAAATTTAAAAAGAAAAAAATCCTCGACTTTAAATCACCATCAGCATCATCATTAATCCCGTTCTAACTAATTTTATTTGAGTTGGCATTGTGAGTTTTCATTTTCCATTGGTTCTTACTAATTACAGAATCAAATGCCAAGCATATTTTATGCAGATCATTTTGAATAATTTCTATCTATTTTCCATTAAATCTATGAACTTTTCTCTATAATTCTGCTACGCTGCCTTTATCTACCTGTCTGCAACTTTCTATTTTATTCCACTTCTAAACAAATTCAAACCAACGGTTTTTGCCACTTACCATCCTTCAAATATAATTATCACAAAAAAATTTTTCTTTTTTATCACACATCAATCTTAACACTCGGATCAATCATGCATAATTAGATTATTAGTAATTATCTACTTCCTCAACAGAGAATCATACAACATAACAACCATAGCCAAAATTTTAAAAATTTGCCTTGCATTACCTAATATCCTCGTGATCTTTTCTTATCATACAATATTTCAATAGGCTAGAAGGCTAATGACAGATGTTCAAAACTCAAAACCAGTTTAATAATTATTCATTTTTGACCAATGCAAAATCAAATTTGATTTACATCAATTACAGAATGGCTCGCTCAAAATTATTTAATCCAAAGCCAAAATTGACTTGATACATATGTTTGTGTGACTTTGTGTATTTTTGTTTGTATTCTAATAAAAATAATTGCTAAAAAAAACACTCTATTCATTAAAGACTTGAGCTTATATAGAGCCTACAACACTCTTTAAAAATAAATCCAGACTCATTCTATATTTACCTTAAACTATATACAATTCTGAACACTCCCCCTAAAGATGAACAAAAGATATTCACTAAGCTAATCTTGTCACACAACCTAGATAGATCTAATGAGCTAAAGTCTCTTGGTGAGGCTGTCAGCTACTTGCTCTCTAATAGGTACATGACTTATCTTCAGTAATCTACTATTCAGCTTCTCCTTGATGAAGAGCCTAGTATTCTCTGCATGCTTGGTTATGTCGTGTTGCACTTGGTTGTTGGCGATACTGATTGTTGACTTGTTGCCGCACCACAACTTCATTTGAGCTCCTTGGTCCACTTGAGCTCTGCCAATAGAGCGCTCAACCATAACATCTCGACAACTCCCAAGGCCATGGTCATGTACTCTGTCTCTGTCGTCGACCACGCAACTACTGACTATTTCTTGGTCTTCCAAGAGACCAAATTACCACCTACAAACAAACAATATCCTGATGTGGACCTTTTGTCATCAGCACAACTAGCCCAATCAGAGTCATGGTAGCCCTCAATGCCTAAATGTTCGTTTTTCTGAAGAACAACTCCTTCCCTGGTGCATTATTCAGGTACCTCAGAACTGATACACTGCATCCATGTGGCCCTTCCTCAAATCATGCACGACTCACCACACTTACTGTAAATGATATGTCGGGACGAGTGTGACTCAAATGGATGAGAAGGCCTACCAACCCCTGATACCTCTTACGATCAACTAGCTATCTTACTTCTATGCTTAACTTTCCCTTCTAATTAATTAGTGAAACTACAGGCTTGCATCCCAACATGTCTGTCATTGTGAGCAGGTCTAGCACCTACTTCCTATGAGATAGAACAATCCTCTTTGTACCACGAGCCACCGCAATCCCAAGGAAGTAACTAAGTTGTCTCAGGTCCTCCACCTCAAACTCTTTGCCCAAACTTGCCTTCAGCTAAACAATCTCTCTCTCATCACCAGTGACAATCATACCATTCACATACACAGCAAGAATAGTAATGTGACAGCAATGTTGTCGAAAGAGCACTGTGTGGCCGGCATTGATCTGTTGATATCTCATACCTACCATTGCTCTCTCGAACCTGTCAAACCAAGCTCGAGAGGAATGATTCAAATTGTACATTGACTTTCTCAGCCTACATAACTTGCCCACTGTTTGGCCTATGTTCGAGCCTGCAAGTATCTCCATGTACACCTCCTCTAGCAAATCTCCATAAAGAAAAACATTCTTCACATTCAGTTGGTGTAATTTTCATCCATCATTCACAGTCATAGAGAAAAGTGTCCTAACTGTGTTCATCTTTGCCACCGGTGCAAAAGTCTCATCATAATCGACGTCATATATCTGAATATACTCTTTCGCCACCAATAGTGCTTTGTACCGATCAATATTTCCTTGTGTAGTCTATTTCACTGTGAAGACTCATTTGCGCCTGACTGTCTTTTTCCCTGCCAGAAGCAACATGAGCTCCCACATTCTATTCTTGTCGAGGGCATCAAGTTCCTCTAGCATAACAGCCTTCCACTTTAGATCCTCCTTAGCTATTTGCCAACATCTAGGTATAAAGATAGTGTAAAGGTGATATGTTAGAGTATGAGACAAACCGAGCAATGTCATGTGAGAAGCCAAAATGATAGGGAGAATAAAAATTAGAAAGATGGTCTGCATTACTGTGAGAGGTTTTCCTTAAAATCATGAGAGTTGGAGGAAAAGGGAGAGGAATCATATCGCTTGTGCAATCGAATTCTGAGGTGGATGGTGTATGTGTCTCAGGAGTCCAGTAGACCAGGACAAGAAATCTGTTGGCATGAGTGGCACGACAGGCATTGTTTCTTCATTTCACCTCCTCCTTGCACCCTCAACTCCCCTTAAGCTTGAATCCCACCGCCACCAGGCTCATCTGAGTGCACCAAATCAAAAACCCAAGAATTCTTATTACCATAACTAACATAAGAGCTCATGGTATGCTTAACAAACTCACAAGCATCACACACAATTTTATGTTTATTTGCAATTCCATACAAATACGGATACAAACGACTCAATAGAAAAAACGAAGAGTACCACATGCAATTGTGATGTAGCAGCAACACATCACTCCTCTCAGATCATCCTACTCCAACACTCTCTACCATTGATGTCAAGACTGAGTCCATCCCACTCTAAGTACCAGAGTCCACTGTCATTTTGTCAGTCCCAAGTATTGGTCAGTCCCCTTATTTTGAAAGATCACTGTAGTAATATCAAATAAAACAATATATTTTAGCTAGAGTATAATGGCACTAATAGATAAAAGGTTCATTGGAAAGGATTTAGCATGCAAAATATTGGACATGAACATAGAATTGGTACGCCTCACATATCCTTACCAACCAGAGACTGTGTTGTACCATCAGCAATCTGAATGCTCTCTGAAACAGTAAGATGAGTATAAAAGGAGAACTCACCAACACCTGTCAAATATCAAGATGCACAGGAATCTACTATCCATTATAGTGATCTTATGGTGGATATATGGGCAAGAGCATGTGTATCACAAGTACTTTTGGCTGAGCATAAGTAACAGTGTACCCCTTGGATGATGATAAGATAGATGCATCCTCAGCCACATCACTTGCCGCTCACTGTCTGATCATTAACATCTCCAGAAACTCGCAATCCTCATCGGTAAATACCACATCTGTCTCTCCCTCATTCTCCGCTACCATCATATTTGTCTGTTGACTCCCTCTTCCACCCCTTTGGCCTCCACAATTACAACCACGGCCCCTAGACTATCCATGTCTACCCATCTCTCTCTAATTGGGTGGCTAGGCACAAGTCTTGCTAAGGTGTCCCACTTTTCCACAAAGTGTAACCTCATGCGGCTCTCCTCCTGCAACATCGCGGTGATGGCCTCATCTAGCGAAAGAGACATTACCTGGGATAGGAGGACCGATCTCCTCTGATCAAAGGTCGGGTTCAGATAAACCTGAAACTGCATGTCCTCATTTGTGCAAAGATTTCCCCCTTCTTGCACCCCGGATCACAACAACTTGACATCGGTTAGAAGTGATCAAGATCTGCCTACAGTCGTTCAAAATTTATGGAGTACTCCTAAATTGATCTATTACTTTGAACTACTACCTTTATCTCATGTGGAATCCGGAACACCCTCTTGTGATTCTCAGCTCCAGCATAGATCTTCAGCTTTGTCAAGATGTTGCTCACCTTTTGAATGACATCCACTTATGAGACAATTGATAGAACCATCGAGTTGAGTAGTCAGGTGCAAAGCAAGGCATGTGTGGTCCTCCGCTTATCCCTCTCAGCACTATCACTCTTTCGCTCGACCTCCATCAAGAATTCCTCTAAATTCTTCCTTACAAGAGCAACATCGATCTTACGTGGCCAAATAAGATATGTGGTTGATCCATCAAGTTTCAGATCCACAAGAGGGAGATCTAGCTTCACCTATGTCGGAGTACGTGCTGAGGTAACAGTTTCTGTCGAGACACTAGCTCCCAATATGAGCCTGACCAAGGCCGTTAGAACTTCACAATCTTTCTTCCCAAGAAGCTCCAAACATTTACCTCCTGCACTATCTCCGTCTCTTGAGATCCTCAATTTAACTATTCTCCGACCTTTGTCATACTCTCACGTTTGTAGAACCAAAGTTCTCTCCTCCACTGCTCTGGTTTCACGCTCCCTTCACCGCTGCCTTGCATGAAGCCACTCAAACCACTCCGTCGCGATCCAGCAGCAGAAGGTGTCGACAATACAGCCCTAGAGCATGCTGGAACACGTCGTCGACTTCCAAGCTTGTTGCAATCACAACCATATCGCGGGGGTTCACGTCGCGGCACCCTCGTTGTCGTAGTTGCCTTCCCAGCAACTGTCAAGATTGTATCGCAAGGGTTGTTTGCCGCAATCCCGTAGTTGCCCTTCCCAGAGACTATCACGA